ACGATGGCTCCTCGTGCTCCAGACGCCGAGTCCCTCGACCACAGGTATATTTCCGTCTCTACTTGCTATAAAAGGTCCATCTCTTCTCCGTTTGCTAGATACAGAGAAAAGTTATATGTGATGATAAACATATGTACTGCAAGCTGTAATTAAGTATTTAATTCTAGCTTTTCATTTTGTTTGTGATCTTTATTCTATACTCGCGAGAGCATCCATGCAAATTAGTCCTGTTAGGTAAGCCTTTTATAAATGCTTGTTCCATAGTTAGGGTCATACTTAGAAAATCAGAGGCCTTGTGCGAATCAAAATTTATGCCCTGACGTTTGAAATAGCGGATTAAAATGTGCAGTTTGTTCTCACAGATGCACAAGTTCTAGAAAGAACAACAAACTAGCAGTAAGAACTGCCACCACCTTACCAGGACTCTGTAGTTTTAGATCATGCGAGACTGCAAATGAAGCTCCGATGATTCATTGGTAGGTCAGCGACAAAGCAGTGCAAGGGGCGACTCCAATCTCCACAAGGTTCTAAATGATGAACAAGAGCACATGAGAATTGAGAGGAAAACTCCCCAATATAGAGAAGATTGGAGTCCATGACCACACCAGTTTGCTGCCACTAATGCCTTTCTTTTGGGGAAATCGTGAAGCATTATTCCCGAGAAGAATTGGAAAAGAATCAAGATGGGGAGGAAATGATGGGTCAATTAGTTAATCTGGCGCTTGTGAAATTGATTTTTTTTTGGAACAGTAGCAATGCATTGAGAGAGGGAACTGGCAGTAATAGGATGCCTTGGGGTGTGATATTTCATAATTCTTCACTTAATGCTCCGTTTAACACCTTTATTACCTGCAGATGGGGGCCCTTCAATTTTTGGGGCCCTGTTCAATTGCTTCAGTTGCACGTGCTGACATATGGCCCTGTCCATAGTAGCTACCCCTCTTTCTATATCGAAGTGATTATCTGAATACACTGTATGCGTGTTGCTTGTACCTTCTCATATGATTTTAAGATATAATGGATTAGTATTTATGCCTTACAAGCTCTCGATGCTAGATGCTTCTTAAAATGTGAAAATATGTATGACCATGGTCGTTTGGCACATACTGCTAAGTGCATACAAGAAAAACTGAATTTTTTGTCATATCGCCATTCCAGCATCGACACAAACGCTCAAATCAATTCAACCTGATGTTGCTTATCTGCACGGACTCACAGTCAAACAAGAAAGCTATGCACTGGCCATTGATGTTGAGGCTGCCTACACGATGCAGAACCATGTCATCTACAACAAACATGGTAACCATATTACTGATATTTCATCATAATCAAGTTTTATTACTCCATGATCATCTCTTTCCAACTAACTTGTATAGGCCACTGCCTCTGCAAAAAGCACAGACAACTACTTGACTACATTGACCGGCCCCTAACAGCGGATTGGGTCCCAGATTTGAAAGAGAAAGAAAATCCATCTAAAGCCGGGACGCTACATTGTTCGTGGTAACGACTACATAACACTTCTTGGATTTTAGAATCGCGTAGTTGAACATCCACTACAGATATGTGTGGAGATAGAAAGAGAGATATTAATCTGCTTTAAAAAAAATAAACATGAGAACTTATTCTGCTTTATAGACTCATGCCTATATTGAGCACACTATGCCTTTGTCATATCACAATTTAATATTTCTCCACTGTATTGATATCTTATATAGATGCATGTGCTAAATATGGATTACTACTGACTTTGCTTTACCTACCCGACCTAATTGTTGGGATTGTTGTGTAGGTGATCGTAACATCCACTACTTTGATGAGTTTAGCACCTACTGCCTTTATAGAAATAAAGTGAAATTAAACAATGACAATCTCAAGAATCTGCGCAAGCTAATTAAAGGCAGTAAAACACTTAACTGCTATTATGTGTGTCACATGACAATAACTTAGCTGCTCGGCGCCTAAGAGGGCAGGACAGCACCAAAAGGGCTATGAAAACGGCACTCGCAAGCATGGGAAAGTTGGCAAAAAAGGCTACGTTATATTGGCATGAAATCGAAGCAGCGCCTAGAGACCACGGATACTATCTGGTGAGCTTTGATCAGCGCATCATACCCAACATGTTTACTGATCATTGCCTTTGCCCTTTTGATGTTCTTTTGAACAGAAAATACATATCCTATGGATTCCTGTTGTTATCATCAAGTGTACTTTCTGTTGTTATCGTGAAGTGTGCTTTCTATGATTGTATACTGTTTGGTGATTTCCCGTTTTGTGCACGTGAACGATCTTTGTTTCCAACTGGTTCTTCGGTGATTCTTCCTGTTATATATGAATCTCCTTTAGTTTTTTATATGACTTCATTTCATTCTGTTTTAGCTTTAGCTTACTTAGAGTTATTGATTTTACAGTCAGCTCTTGGCATCGATAAATCATGCTTTGTTTAGCTTACAACAACTTGACATTAACCCTCTTGGCTCACATACACAAAGTGTAACATTTGTCTATACTTTGTGATGCAATAGCTTCATGGGTGGGTGTTTTGAGGTTTCTCAGGTTGCAACGTTAAGCGAGTACCAATATTTTTAGTTACATTCTGTCTGACATCTATTTATAGCTCCAGTTCATTCAGACGTTGTTAGTCCCATTTAGATACATGGTGGTAATATCATGCTTTCATTGCCCTTTTTATCATCCGAATAGCAATTGAGTTACTAATAACTAAACATTACACGTTTGACCAAAACATTCGGACAGGCACCTCGCGCCAAGGTGCGGTGCCGATCTAGTAAGTAAATATACTAGCAAATAAGAGCTACTCTTCGGCCTTCAATTCTTCGTCAGCCATTCAGAAGACTTCATTGTTTTCTCAACACTTTTAGGGTTTATAATCTTTCGGTTAAACGAAATCCCCAGAGACTTTCATATATGTACACCTAGTAAACACGTTACTCCCTCCACCATTTTGCCATTAATCATCAAAATCCACCGGGGCGCTACATGCACCTACACCGGACATTCTGTGTACCAGAAAAATATATTTTCAGACATACGCCACGCGACTGTGTGTGCTTATATGGATGTCCTTCTCCTTCTCTTGCCACATAGTTAGTCTTGTTTTTTCTCAGAATTTGGTTTTAGCTCCCAGGCTCCAGGGTTCAATACATAGAATTTAACAAAATGTAAGACAACCACCAATGGCGAGCAAGTCCAACTTCTTCAAATCATTTGACCTATGCATGAGAACATAACACATGGCAAAGATATACATACGTGAAGGCACATGAGCAATAAACCAAATTCAGAGTTGAACCTGCGAAATATCTGCATTTTTTGCCTAATTTATTGTTGAGTTTACCATCAGTTTGACTTCAATATATTGCCAGAGAAATCGCTGGTAAATTGATTAAGGAGCACCAGAAGAGGGGACATGAATCAGGTAGTGGTTGCCCCCATACATGCCAAGAAACTGCGAGGATGTAGCAAGTCTCATTGACTCAAAGCGTCCTCATGCAGCTGCAAGGATTCCTCCCTCCCTCCCTCCCTCCTCAAACCTACAGACTTTCGCCCCACTTTAATCTCTCTAAGAACAGTATAAACCCGGAAAAAAATTGGACAGTAAGTTCTATTTTTCTCTTTTCAAAATCTTGGGCACATGCAGTCATGTTACCGGAAGTTCCTTTGTAGATCACCATTGAGCATCGCTCATGCAACAGGCCAAATGAAACAAGAATCCACGTCCACATCCGAAGAGGACACTGACGGGAAACAAATGAATCAATCAATCAATCACATACTTGAGTTGGGGTGTGGGAAAAGAAGATCAATAAGTCATTGTTGTTGTTGGGGTAGCCCATGAAGCTAAAGCACTTTGTCTCGGCGCAGCCATGTCCATCGCAAACGCAGGCGAGAGGATCGTCACGTCGTTGCCCGGGACCTATAGGATTTAGCTGTCAAACAACAGAATGTTCAAGGCGATACGAATGTGAGACAGATGATGGTGGGCATTATATATAAGGAAACGGATGAAGATTAAGAGGCAAGTAACGCATCTGCACTTACCACCTACGGTTACGGGAGGAAGACCGTCGAGCTTCATCCCATTAGGCCCAAGTAATATCGGACGTCCAAAAATGTCACTGGAGTAGCGGCCCGGCACAGTTAGCGCTTCTTAATAGTAACGTACGCATGATTCAGAGCTAATCTGACGGCTAAAAATCCAAAATAACGATCGAATGGCCGAGAACACTGATGACCTGAGAGGGCTGAAAAAGTGCTCAGTTATAATGTATTTATTAAATGACGATGGAGATCTCTTGCCGGGCGCGCGCTCCCAGTACAACATTAGCCACTCAGCCCGCAGATGGGATATAAAAACAAATCACTCCTCACCGTGGCAACCGCCTGCGTCGCCACGTCCGTGGCAGGTGTTTGCTTGGCAGCCGAACACGTCTGCGAGGGCGTTATCGTCCAAATTTAGCCACCAGCGCATCCCTTGGTATTAGTAGAGTATACTGGTATAGTACTGCTCGTGTCCCTCGTGATTGCCCGGCATCAATGGCCTCCACATGGTTCACTTCATGGCACACGCAATAAACAGCAGTCCTCTCGCGAAGATGCCTGGCTCAAATCAAATCAAATGCAATAGACATCTCGCTCGTGTGTATATAAAGGTCGGCGCTGGCCTTCAAGTTCTCCCATCCATTGCCATCCATCTCTACTCTCTAGTGTGAGCAGCAATGGGGTTCATTCACAAGGGTGGGGTTTGGTGGTTCCTCCTGCTCGCCGGGGTGCTGCTGGCTGCGGCGGCGGCAGCAGGCGCGGAGCAGGACGATGGGGCGGTAGCCACTGCTGTCCCGGAGGTGGAGGAGGCGGATGAGGCCCGTCTGCGCGTCGATGATCCGGAGGAGAACGACTCGTGCGACCTCAAGTGCCAACACCACCAAGTTCCGGCGAGGAAAAAGCAGTGCGTCGACGAGTGCCACGCCCAAGAGGAGGAGGTCGCCGGGCGTCCGTGCGACAGGGAGTGCCAACTGTCTTGCCAAAGGAAGTGCCAGGGCTGGAAAGATCGGACCAAGCACCAACAGTGCGTGCGACAGTGCGTTCGCGGCAGCAACATCGTCGACGACGAGCACCTCCGCGGCTGGGAAGCGGTGGCCGGCGCCATCATCGAGGCGGTGTGAGTGTCATGTCACGCACCTAATAATAATAATAATAATGTAAGGGTATATGTCTTGCTAGGCAAAGGCACCAGAATAAAAGACCAATAGCGTGCGGTAGCTGCATGTTTGGCGTCGTTGGCGATGCTCTCCTAGGACTAGGAGAGAGCTGCATGGAACTCTGTTCCTTTTCCTTGTAGCGGTTCCGGCTGTTCTGTGGCCGTTAATTGCAATCTTATGGATTTTCCTTCATTTGTAATATGGATTTATCTTAGTAAAGTACCCCTCTGTCGTCCCACTCAACACCTCTCAAACTACCACATGAATGCATTGACCTCACGACACATGTCACCCTCCGTTCATGTTTTATATTAAGTGTCGCTAACTTTATACCAAATCAACGCTTAATATGAAACGGAGGTAGTAGTGTGTTTGAACCCTGTCTTTCGTAATGAAAATCGAACTTGACCAAACTCCTTGGTATGCTTGCTCCTTGGTCGCTCCCGCGGGCGGTCAGGGGCATCGAGGCGAGGCAGCGCAAGAGGGGCTTGGGTCCACGCGCGTCGGCGTCTCACAGGCCTCCTGTCCGGGACGTGGGAACTGATCTCGGGCAAGGACGCATGGTGCGCCGGGAGTGCAGGCGTGTAGGATGCATGGGTGGAGCGGAGTTCCGCGCGGTGGCTCTGGCTCCTGGCATGCTAGGTGCTTGTCTGCTGGAGCGTGGTGTGCCAGTGGATTGGGCATGCAAGATTGCGGGGGCGGCCTGGTGTGGCCTTGCAGGGAGGCGCTGCATGCGTGTTGTTGGTGCTAAATTCGGCATATCTTGAGGTAGGGGTCCTAAGTTAGGCGTCTTGACACGATGGTAACATGGCAAACAAGTGACATAGAGATTTTACCCAAGTTTAGCCTCCCTCGAAGAGATAATACCCTACATGTTGTTTTTGACTATAATTGATATGGGGTGTAGTATAGAGTACATGTATCTACCACAAGATTATAAGACCACATGATTTGTTGACTAGCCTAGCCTCGGTTTATATAATGCACCGGAGGCCTAGGATTTAGAAGGGTTATCGTCTTGTGCATCCAGTCTTATACAAATTTTCTTGTATACGTCATGGGCTACCCGAAGAAGCCCATTAATGAACCGCCATGGGGGTCCTCGGCCCAACCCACCTGGTCGGGCGACGATGTGGTGAGTACCCCTTAGTCTAGGAGACCAACAGTAGCCCCCTAAACCGGTCTTCAAGCGATGACGCTCCTCGGTTCTTCCGAACTGTTCTTTGTCTTCGGTCGTCGATTTTGAAACCTCGTTCAATAATTCTTCCCATTTCCGATCTTGAGGACTGCCGAGGTGTATCCGAAGAGTTCACAAGACATCAGGCATCTGAGGATATCACACGTCGGGCATCTGAGAAGCCCCTTTAGTTCTCAGACTATCAATACCTTGTTATTTTTACACCACACCTCGGGTTCGAAGTTTCTTCCATGCGGCGGTGTCCTCTTGCAGCTGAGCTTCAACGTTGTATTGCATTCCACAAAGCCCCCCATCTAGGCATAGAATACTTGTCAAAATCACCACATAAATTGGAATCATCGGTAGGCAGGAGCCGGTCTACTCGTCACGGACGTAATGCCTATGTACATGATCATGCCATGAATAACGACATAACTATGCGTTTTTCTACCAATTGCCTAACAGTAATTTGTCTACCCACCGTATACCATCTTTATGAGAGATATGCCTCTAGTGAAAACTATATTCCCTGGGTCTATTTAATCATATTACAAAAACCAAAAATACCTTTCTGCAACTTTTTATCTTTTATTTTACTTTGCAATTTATATATCACCTATTACCAGATTTGATCCTTGCAATTAACAAGTACAAGGGGATTGACAACACTCTTGCCCATGTTGGGTGCAAGTATTTGCTATTGTGTGTGTAGATACTATTGGTGGGTGTTTGCGTGGTTCTCCTATTGATTCGATAACACTGGTTCTCTACTGAGGAAAATACTATCCGCTACTATATTGCTTCACGCTTCCTCTTCGGGGAAAATCCCAATGCATCACACAAGCAACAAGGCTGCGACGACGGTAGTGGTGCCTTCTTAGGGCATCTCCAGTCGTTCGGTCCCCCAGGGCGCAGAAAAACTGCGGCATGGGGGCGAGCCGGCGCTAGTTCGGCCCCTGGGGCCGGCCTAGCTCCCAGTCACGCCCCTAGCTGCCGCCCCCCCAGCCACGGAAAAATTTAAACATAGTCGTTCCCGCGCCCAAAATAGATGCCACAATCCGGTGATCAAGCGGCCTAGATCGGCGGTCGGATGAAATGTTCGGCGTACAAAAAAGCAGGAAAGGACGGAAGCGCGCATCATGCGGCAAGGTCGGCCTCTGGCGTCGCTGGAGTCGGCATGCGCGGGCTTGACGGGGCCTCTGTGCTTGGCGGCATGGCTTATGTGCTGCGGGCAGTCTCGGCGGCATCAGCGGTCGGGCTTGGCGGCAGCGGCGGCGTGTGCGTGGGCGGCGTCGCCGAGGGAAGCTGGTCCAGGATGAGGCCAACATGCGCCCTGTACCACGCCTTGACCGCCTCGTCGGTGCTTTGAAGCATGTCCGCCCCGCCCAGCAGCAAAGCCAGGTCAGTGTTCCTCTTCTTCGCGGTGACCTTGGTCTGGAGTAGGTCGAGCTTGACGGCGCTGGTCGACATCAACGCCGACCAACGCGCCTCGGTCTTCTCTTCACGAAGGGCGGCCCGGACCTGTGCGTCGGTGAGGCAGTGCTAGATGGACTCCTGCACACGAGATGTGGCCGCGTCGGCGTGTTTCCCCTTCTTGGCACATTTGTTGCCGTCCGGCCGCCCATCTGACGCGCCCGGAGACGGCACGTCAGGCGTGTAGGTCTCCTTGGCCTTCTCGATGGTGCGCCGGACTTCCGACCACTTGTCGCACTTGTCGATGCGCTTGTAGACGTGGAGGTACTTGAACTCGGCGTCGCTGTTGCCCCGCCGATACAGGCCGAACACGCGCAACAACTGCACAGGAACAAACAAACAGTTGGCTTGTGAACCGCGAAAAGAGGCCTAGTACGTACGTACCTGTCGCCGGGGGTACGTAAGGGTGTATGCAAGTCCTAGTACGTACGTACCTGTCGCCGGGGGTACGTAAGGGTGTATGCAAGTCCTAGTACGTACGTACCTGTCGCCGGGGGTACGTGCACGCTTCCATACGCCCGCGTATATGTCTTGCTAGGCAAAGGCGCGAGAATAAAAGACCAATAGCGTGCGGTAGCTGCATGCTTGGCGTCGTTGGCGATGCTCTCCTAGGACTAGGAGAGAGCTGCATGGAACTCTGTTCCTTTTCCTTCTTAGCAGGTTGGTCTGCTAGCTCTTATAGCGGTTCCGGCTATGTTTACACCAAAAAAGCAAGAACTGCATGCGTATGTTTACGTGTATGTGTGCATGCATGTGTTGCACCAAGAAATGAAAATCTACGTATCTTTCCCGTTACACCGCTTTGTCTAAGTAAGCTCTTTTACATGATTTTTATTTTGGGGGGAAAGCTCTTTTACATGATAGCTAAGTTCGCTAACGTAAGTATGCTTGGCGAAAGTAGCAACACGTCTAACAACAGCTAAGATCGCATCTTCTCTACTGTACACCAGACTCTACTGTACTTAGTTGTACATGGCATAATAACCTTGATAATAGCTAGTGCTAATTTAGAAACGTTTTCTTAATCATGCATGAGTCAACATTGAAGTTCTAGACTATGTAGGGCACAACATTTTAAGAACCAACATGTGCTTAGATGGTTAGGAGAGTGGTTGTACCCAGCCCATCAGAGATCAAAAGCCCAGGTTGGCACATGTGTGTCTCACACTACGGGAAAATATGTCTTTGCCGAGAGTTTGGGTGTTTGCCGAGTGTCTTTTATCGAGCACTAGGCAAACAAGCCCTTTGTAGAGTGCCTGGAGGAACATCTTCGAGAAGGAATCACTCTTTTGAAAGGGAACATCTAAGAGTTGAAGGCAAAGCAATTGCTTCTTTATCGTTTTCCTTAAAAAAAATTCTACACTCAAGATACACCATAAAATATTCTATGTCAAAATTTGACATTTTCGGGGTCCGTTTGCTACATACAGTCCATGTAGTGCATATCTAGGCATTCAGTATAATTAAAATTTAAACTGAAAGTTCATAAGAAGAGATAGAAAATTCTAGTGCATGAAAAGGTTGGCAAAATTGGGTCGAAAAATCCTATTTGTGTTCTTGAGTACATATTCAAGCCTTATCCAAGAAAATAAAAGGAATCACAAACATCAAGGTGCCAAGACTTGACCACGAACATGGAGCTTATTGTATTTTTAAATGTAGAAAATGGAACGAAGCCTGGAAAACATGAAACTTGACATGGTGTACACTGGTGGAAAAAAGGCCTTTGGTCGCGGTTCGCAACTGCCATTAGTCGCGGTTGCGCAACCGCGACCAAATAAGCGCGACTAAAGCCCCCCACCTTTAGTCGCGGCTGCTTAAGAACCGCGACTAACGGCCCGTCCACGTGGGCGCCAGGGGGCCGTCGGGGCGGAGGACCTTTAGTCGCGGTTCTTCTGGCCAACCGCGACTAAAGGCCGCCACAGGTTTAGGGTTTTAGCCCCCCCCCCTAAACCTGTTTTCTGTTTAATTTGTATTGTTTTATTTCTTTTGTGCTTTATTTTAATTTTGAAGGAGTTTCATATATTCTACGGTACTACATACATGCATATGAATGTACAATTTCAAATAAATTTGAAATTAGAACCAAAAAGAATTCAAGAGGAATATACAATATATATTCAATATCATCGGATGACCATATACAATTTTGAACAAGTTTCCATACATGATTTAATGCATATAAAGTTCTACGTCCTCGTAATAGTGTTCTCCTTTAGGATGGAGGACTTCCCTGCTGAACCATCCAGCTAGTTCCTCTTGAAGTGGTCGGAAGCGAGCTTCTGGACTAAGCATCCACCGGAGGTTATTCCTC